ATATTAATACTAATCTATTATGTAAGTTTCTATTTGAAAAAAAAAAAAAAATTCATATTTGTTAATGAAACGTTAAAGAATAATGCATGCAATAATGATAAGAACTCGAAATGCAATAGTATCACTAAATGTACAGACAGCAATAGTATAGGAAAAAAAACTCAATAAATGAAATATCGATTGAAACAAATCGAATGCAGCAAAAGAAATGGTAAGAAGCAAATTTTTAAAAGCGTTTTGAAGTCAACAATTGAAATGAAATATTCATTCAGTAATACTATGACGAAGTATAGTCGATTTTTGTCGAAGTGTGTCACCGTCTTCAATTTGACCATTACCGTCATCATCATCATCGTCATCATCTATATCGAGTGTTTCTTGAATCATTTGTGTCACACGTCGATCATATTCAACTCGATTATTGCGATAAAGTAAAGCAGCTTCTAAATTAGCTGGACTAAGTGGATTCGGATCAATAAGAAGTAAACGAATTGAATGAAGTATTGCTAAAATATCATAAGATGGTAACCAACCATCTTTAAGTATATCTACACAAACAAGTCCATCATCGGACCAAATATTTGGATGGAAAATCTTTGTTATAAATCGAACTTGTGGTGGCCTATGTGGATAATCATCTGGAAAAAGTAATTGAAGTTGAAATGTACCTGATTCATATATACTATCTTCTGGTCCGCATATAATTGCGTTCCAAATATAAATATTATCTGATGATGGACTTGCATCAATTCCATCGACTTTATTGTTAATTATTTGTCGAAAATCTTGTTGTAATCGTCGAACAGCCATTGATGATAATGATGTTAAATGGTTCAAAAAGAAAAGAAAAAAATGAGAGATGATATCTACAAGAAAGACAGAACAAAACAAACTAGATTTTTTTTTCGAATATAAAATAAATGAAAGTTTGTTTTTTTTTTTACTAAATTAAATTTGTATTTAAAGTTATTTTACTTTTACGAGCTTCGTAATACAATGGATTATATTCTTCATCATCAATATTCATCTGAACGAGAAAAGAAAATATTAAATGAAATAAAAAAATTTTAATACAAACATTGGATAAACTATTGATTAAATTTTCATCCATATGTTTTTGTTCGTGTTTGATTATTTGATATGGTAACATTGGTTGTGGTAATAGAAATTCACTAGAAGCAATTGACCGTAATAATAAACTACGTTCTGAAGCACATGAAAGAACAAAATGTCCAGAAAATATATTATTCATTGATGAATTATCATTTAAACGACAAATTAACATTAATTCCTAAATTATTGAAATAAACATATTCACTAAAGAATAATAGAATAACTTACATTTTGACGTAAATAATCTGCTAAAGTATCAAAAGCAACTTCATTTTTTTCAACTGATTCAATATTATACTTATGACATGACGATGATGTGACAAGAAGTGGCTAGAAAAAAATGAATAGATTAATTATTATTCAAAACAAATTTTTTACCATGCCAAATATCATTGATATACAATAATTAGCTTGTTTTACAAAATTTAACGCTTTTAATTGATAAATTGGTAATGATAAAGAATTTTGAGTTAAAGTAGATGTTCTCATTGGTTCAGTATAAATAAACTATATATAGAAAATCATTATAATAAAAATGAATAATATAAAACTTACAAATCTATCATGATTAATATGATGATGAGGATCAATTAATATTTCTTGTGAATCACATCGAATCATATGCCATGACTGATCAATATATTCAGCTAATAATAAACGAAAAAGTTTTATTTTTAATATTTATTATATATGCTTGAAAGTAAAATAATACTACAATACGATATTCACTTTGTTTCATACTCGTGTCTTTAGATTTCTCTCTATCGATATAATACATTTTGAAAACGTAAAGAGTAGGAAATTTCCATATTATATGGAGGTATAGATAAGTACATTTTCAAAAAACAATTTTTCTCAAAGATTCAAGTTTTCTTTTTTTTTTGCTCATATCAATACGCTGGTTATTGGATATTAGGAAGCTGCAAATTCACTTTTTTTGGTCCCGGTCTTGATAAAAGCTTAAGAATAATTCTGGTTTTATCTTCAACTATGCAAAAAAAAAGTATGAAGTTCACGAGAATTCTCGCTTTTTCGATTGTAAATTCAATCTATACGGTTTTTCTTGAACTATAAAATAACACATTTGTCAATTTTTAATTAAAGAAAAAAAAAGAAACAAGAAAATTTCTGGTCTCATACTTGATAAGAACATTAAGGAATTAACTGACAATTTTCGTCTTGGTCCCGATTCCGGTCTCGGTAACTTAAAAAAATTTGGTCACGGTCACGGTCCCGCCGGGACCACTTTGCAATTCCCTGTTGGATATATATAGTTAGATTATTAGTCATCATTTGCTCTAATGTCAGCATGACAATTTTAATTCATTTGAAGCAGATAACGTATAGTTATCGAATATATAGAGGCAAATCCAGTAATAAAATAGTAAATATTCAAACAAAAAATTTTGTTGTAAATATGTTAACGTATATACGTCATTCCTGTTATCATCCCAATAATAGATGAAAAAAGAACGACAGATGATTTTATGTGGATAAAGTAAAATAAATATTAACCTACCTCTTTCATTTGTGGGTATATATAATTGAATATGTTCATGTTCATGATCCGTATTTAATAACCAAGATTTAAAATAAAGACCGATTGAATATTTATCTATGAATATAAAAATTTTAAAACCCGAACAAAACACAAATACATAACATACTTTCTAATACATATCGGATATTTACCAAATCAAACAACAATATGTTTTGCTTGGATGATTCTATATAATCATTGTTATTAACACATACCAATTGGATTTTCTAAATAAGCCAATACACAAAAATGCACACACTTTATATACTATAGCTTTACGCTGTATTGATACGTAAACTAGGCATGATAAAAAATACACTACTAAATAAACGACGCAATTTCTTTGATCAAGACAGAAGTATTTACTGGATGAAAATGATTGGTATGTCATAAAGGTAGTTTATCAATGATTGCAATTTTCTTCTTCCTATATGACACATACAGATAGAAAAAGCCAACCACTGAAAAATGATATAGAGGGTAAAGGGTAAACATACATTAATATAATAATGTTTAAATTACTTACTTTTTTATCGATTTGTTGATTTTGAGTATAATGATCGATATCCGAAATAATTGCATCTGATAATCGACTGGTGAAAATAATAATTTGAAAATCCTGATGAATGGAATCTGATTCAATCTTTGAAATATAGACATGTATACTTTAAACAATAAAATTTAGCAATACAAAAATTATTCAGATATATCTCTAATTGGAAAACTAGCTGGTAATAAAACTAGTTCACATATGAAGATATAATAATGTTTAAAAGTCTGGTCAATCTGTTCTTTATCTTATACACCTACGCATTTGCACTTATGTTGGTTTAGTTTTAATACTATTTAATTATCTTTTTTCTTATGGCGAAGTCAAATGACAAAAATCAGGAGCTGAAATTTAACCGCAACGTGACAAGTATTCAAGGTAAAAACGAGATTAGGTCATGCTTGATGTATTTTGCATTTTCTCTTACCGCGCCTCTTCATGCAGATAATATGCAACGATTAAACTTTGGACTAGCCGTGACTAAATAGATCCCGTTCGATGTACGAAAAACCGCAAAAAATATTATATATTTGCGGTTATTCTATACCATTTTCTTAATTCATGTATGAATATTGTTTAACGTCTTACTCGATTTTCATTATTATTAGACATAATTGAATTAATTTGCGTGAAAGCTAATTGTAAAGCTGAATGCCATGATAATGATGTAACTATAGTTCGATTTGATTTCATTGACCATTTCTGTGCAAGTAATTGCAACTTACAAAGTGCTACTTGTAATTCCATATGATTATTACATATTGATGAATATGGTAGAAAAATCTAAAATATTTATTTACCTGAAAAACAGGGATGACATATCAACTATATACATACCTCACTTTGATTTTGACCATTTACAATAAGTCCGAACATAGGAACGCGTTGTATACCAACATGTGTTGTAATAATACTAAATAGCTGATCAAGTCCATGACAAATACCTTGAATTATTTTCTCGCTTAAACCATAATCGATAAGTAATAAACGACCTAAATAATATTTTCATTTAATAAGACTGAATAATTATATGTATAGAATTATACCTGGATATATCGATTGAATAGAACGTATATTTGATATTTTCGACATTTTTATAAAACGGAACGAAATGATGTTAATTTTTCAGATTCTATTTCCTCAAAAATTTAGTCGTTAGACCAATAGTTACAATAAAATCGGTCGATATACAGGTGGCGCATCAAGTCGAACAAAAAGAACGATAAATTTAGTAATTCATGATGATCGTTGCAAAAGACAATAGAAAGAATTTTATTTGACGAAAACCTTTGTGAGATATTTTATTGTTTCTTAATCTTTACACCATATCATTATGTTTATTTAGTTTATTTTTACAATACACTAAAAAGATTAATATGAATAAAGAGAAGGCAACAATGTTAAGATAATGAAGAGAGAAAAAGAAATAAAATATCAATAATAAATATAACTAAAGCATTGAAATTGTTCATTTTGAATTTATTTTTTTTTGATGATTAAACACCTGATGGTTCATTTGGTACAGTAACTAGATGTTTTCCACCTTGTAAATGTGTTTTGAATTGTTCTGGTATTGGATATTCTTTATATTCTCCATCACCAAATGGAACATTAATTGTCATTTCCGATGATTTTGATGTTATAAATTCTGTATTTAAAGATGTTTTTGATAAATAAATATGACAACCATCAGTTTTTTCAATTTGAACTGTTGGAACATTATCTAATACTTGTGCTTTTACACTACGACAATTAACAAATTCAATTAATGATACAACAGATGTAAATTGTATTCCAACTTTTGTACATTGATCAAGTACAATTGAATTAACTTTACCATGAACTGTTATTGTTGAATTTGTACATTTATAAATATAGATTGTATGTCTCATATTTGTTTCACTTATTTTTAAATCTGTTCGATTATTATAATATTCGACAATCCATTTATTACCTTCGAGAGCTAATTTTGGTGGACCTGAAGTTACTTGTGATGAAGTATTTGATGTAATTATCTAAATGAAGATAAAAAAAATAATATAACGAAAATTTTCTTTATTAAATTATGTCTTACTTGAGATTTATTTGTTCGTTCAATTGGTTGTTCTTTTAAATGAGGATTTTTATGAGTTTTAAGTTCATCTGGTACTTTTTTTAAATGAGATGTTACACCTGTACCTAAAGAATTAATTGAACTCATAAGTCCATTTTGTGGTGCTTTATCATTAATTTGAATATTTGAAAATGAAGATGTCGGAGGAGTTGGTAATGGATTTCGAGCAGAATTAGTATTTAAATCATTTTGACTATGTATACCCCATGTTAAACCAGTTGTATGATATTGTTTAACATAAGCATGTAATTCATTTAATATTTTTACCCACTGTTTAACCCATTCAACATGTATAGGATCTTTATCTTTGTAATCTTTTAAAACTCGATTCGAATAAAATTGTGCTGCATCACACATTTCTTTAATATGTGGAGCAGGTGTTGGTGAAATAAGAATCCAACCAAATGCTGGAATACCTTCTGATATTGTTGATAAATGATTAAATAATATTGCTTTACGATTTTTATTTGTAAAAGCTTTAAAAAAGAACGACAAGTTTTATTTTCATAATAAAATTTAAATTATTTCTTACCAACAATAGCTTCAATTTCACTTGATTGTGATTTAATTAAATCAGCTATTTGTTGATCATTAACTGGTTTTTTAGTTTGTATTGCAAATCGAAGAAATTCTCGTTGTGCTTCAAATAAACGTATAACATGATCAATAATTACTGATAATTCACCACCAATTTTTCGTGAAAGTGTTATAAATGATGCAAAAGTACCATTGATAATTGCATTATAATCACGTAAAATAGGTAAATTATCTATATTATCATTTGAAGAATTTTTAGGGCCAAGACTAAATTTTCCAATAGATGATTGCAAATGATTTGCAACAGAATCAAGACGATTATTTAAATGATCAAATTGTTTTACTTGAGAATTCATAACTAAATAATAGAGACGATTTATATTATCTCAATAAATATATGATTACTATTTAAAAAAAAGGTTACTCAAATAATTCTATATGTACTTCATTTTTTAACTACACTATGTTTTGTACTTTTATAATATAACAAAAACCTATGATGATGAGAAGATAACTATTCAAAGTAGGAATGTCGTGATCATTCTTTCTTCATCATTAGACACATAAATGATCATGAACTAAATCTTTTGAATCATATGATCTAGGATTAAGAAATTCACACTAATAAGCGATTGTAACTGAACGAGAAAAACTGTTTGATCAACAAAGTACAACGTTTTGTATTCTATACTTATTGAGTCAACACCAAAAGATAAAAGAATTTAAAATTTAAAATATATTCTCTTACAAAATAAAAATTAATTTATAAACTCACTTTATTCCGAAAATTTGATATACTACGTAAAATTCTTTTCGTTGAAATAGAATCTGGAAATAAAAAAATATGTTTATCAAGACTTATATATATATATATAACGAGTCGGTGACAAACAGGAATGCATTGTTACGATGTCACATCTGGTGAAAATTTGATCTTTTATCATAGTCTGATAGAAAAAAAAATGAAAAGTACATATGAGTGAACTATGAACATAAATACATGTTATTGGTTTTATAGACGTATGTAAAGCTTAAACTAACAATGATTGTAGATATGAACAGAACGTGATCGATGTCACAGATGTATTTTTTACTGGTTGGATCTATTGACCGTAATTTTTTCTCTCTTTATTTGACAGAACTAGAGAAAGACACCTATAGAGAGACAGAGAGAATAAATGAATCATTGAACGAACGGAACAATCACTCATTCGTTCTTTGATTGACTACTCATATTTTGGGGTCGCTTCTTAGTTAAATATGTATTTTTCATTAGTGCTAGGAAATCAATCGGAGCACGAATATTCGATGTCTCAAATTTCATTATGTAAGAATCGCTACAGATTCTTTTACAAATATCTATGTTATTTTATTCTTTATATTTTAGTGTATTTCTGACTCTTTCGGGCATACTTTAATGAAATATTCCATGATAATTCAAAGGTAAATTCTATTTAATAAATTTCAAATATGCATTTTCTTGCATTCCATCAAATAGAACTCATCAAATAGTGAGTTATAAAAAATAACCTCGTATGCTTATTGTATTGATGTTGACAAAAAAAATTAATTTTAATTTTGCTGCTAATTAAGTTTAACAGTTTTTTCCCCCCGATTAATTTTAAATATCTCTGATTCGTTCTATTAATCTATACCTTCGACTAATAAAATTATATTTTATTTAATATTTTACTTTGATTTTAGTGCTCCAAATATATTCTTCCTCAATGGACATTAAATAGAATTCGAAGGTTAAATCTAACAATGCAATTACGAAAAGATGGAACGATGTTTATTTTCCTTATCATTATTTTTTTTCTTATTATTCTTTTTTATCAACATCATTATGCAATTAATCAATCATCAAT